TAGAAGTTAATTTTCAATTAGATAAAAGAAATGTTAACTTTATGTGATGTAATAACTATTAGCAATGAATTGCTTATGCAATTTATGCGGACTAAATGGTGGTCATATTCCCATTATGATTACTCTAGTTTTTTATTTTAATTACACGAGCGACGAGGAAAATCGATAATTGTGTTAATTTTTTAATTAATTAAAAAAAATAGCTTTTAGTAGAATGATATCAGTATTGATTCAATGATCATTATTTATTTTTCAACTACGAATCGATTTTCTTGAAGCATTTAATAAGAGAAAAGAAATTACGAATAGCAATGGAATTCCTCGCATTTTTGAATGAAGACATTTTATAAATTCATTAAAATTTGTATTCAAAATTGGAGATAATAATTGAAAATGAGTAATAATAGAAGTTAATTTTCAATTAGATAAAAGAATGTTAACTTTATGTTATGTAATAACTATTAGCAATGAATTGCTTATGCAATTTATGCGGACTAAATGGTGGTCATATTCCCATTATGATTACTCTAGTTCTTTTTTTTAATCGATAATTGTGTTAATTTTTGTAATTAATTAAAAAAAATAGCTTTTAGTAGAATGATATCAGTATTGACTCAATGATCATTATTTATTTTTCAACTACGAATCGATTTTCTTGAAGCATTTAATAAGAGAAAAGAAATTACGAATAGCAATGGAATTCCTCGCATTTCTCATATCTCTTTGAATAAAAACTATTAAAAAATTGGAGATAATAATTGAAAATGAGTATTAATAGAAGTTAATTTTCAATTAGATAAAAGAATGTTAACTTTATGTGATGTAATAACTATTAGCAATGAATTGCTTATGCAATTTATGCGGACTAAATGGTGGTCATATTCCCATTATGATTACTCTAGTTTTTTTTTAATTACACGAGCGACGAGGAAAATAATTGTGTTAATTTTTTAATTAATTAAAAAATAGCTTTTAGTAGAATTACCAAAAAGATAGATACGTTTTATAATTTGAATAAAGTGTAAAATTTAACTTCTCTCCAAATTATGTGAATTATATAATGATTAATGTTGAGTTATTCGAATGGAGAGGATGATTGATAATTAACAGATGCTCACCTGTTGGGTGAATCTCCTGGTGAAGAACGGTATGAAATATTTAAGATCGTATTTGGCGAAGCCTTTGATCCTCGAAGAGATGAAAGAGACCTCCATTTCGCCTTCAGTGGTTTCGGATAAGTGCTCCGAGTCTATGGCCTGTCCCCATTCCCGGGTCTTGCTCAGAGTGACCTCCCTATCCTTCTTCTTTTTCCTGAGCCTCCTCGACGGATTCTTCGTGGCTTGCATGAATTTCAGAAGAGGCATCGTTGATCCACCGAAGACCAACGTCGTTATCAGCACGATGATCAGCGTGGTGGTGATGATGACGTGCCTCGTTTCGTCGCTGAAGTTCAGATGAAGGGAAAGGGCGTACGAGATTGCACCGCGAAGCCCGCTGAACCACATGATGAACATCATCTTCTTGGTGATCTGATGCTCCCTGAACTTGTTGCAGAGTATTGCCAAGGGGAAGATGTTGCACGCTCTCCCGATCAGACACAGGATGAAACTCCAGATGATCAGAGCGGGTTCGGTGCGATGCTTGAAGCTGAACAGGGCCAAACCCAGGTAGGCGAAGACGCAAGTCTCCGCGATGAAACTCAACGTCCTCAGAGTCTGCTGCATCGTGATCTGCGTGACGGTCGATAAATTGTAATGCGTGTAATGGGACATGACGATGCCGCAGAACAATATAGCCATGATCCCAGACAGATGGATTCCTTCAGCGAGGACGTAAGGGCCGTACGTGAAGACGAGCATCATGCCGAATTCCAGAGAAGGATTCTTCCTTAAATCGACGTGCTTCAAAAGTAGAGCGCTCACCAACGCGAAGACCACTCCGATTCCAGCCGAAGCGAAGAACATCAAGCAGAATCTGTTGATCCCGATGATGATGGCCTCTCCGGTCGACGTGACCGGATCGTTCGATTCCAAAACGGCTGTCGTCAGTACAATAGCTATGGCATCGTTCAAGATGCTCTCACCAAAGACCAGCATGTTGAGGACGGGATCAACGTTCAGAGCGTGGAAAATAGCAACAGTGGCCACCGGATCCACAGCGGAGATCAACGATCCGAAAGCGAAAGACTCCAAGAAGCTCAACTTGTAAACGACATCCGCGATCCCCAGAAAGTAAATTCCGAAACCGATGACGAAGGCTGATATCGTGGTGCCAATTATCGCGAAAACCAGTATGGATCCGATGTTCTGGAAGAAATTGCCCTTGTGCAAATTGTACCCTGATTCGAAGATAATTGGTGGTAATAACACTAAAAAGAAAGCTGTCGGAGAGAACGCCTCTTCTTTTCGCCAATTGCTTATGTTCCTATCCGATAGGGCGTTCATAACGAGTCCAATCAGAGCTCCAAGGAACACTATGACTATGCTCTCGGGAACGTATTGGAATCCAGTGTGCAGCATCAGATGGATCAGCAAGATTCCCAGAGCCAACACGCAGAGCACGAAGAATATTGCCATCGAACTGTTGTGCTCATCCTCAGCGGCTCCTTTGTCAGGCAACACTGGATCTGCTGAGGCTGTCGTGGAGCTGACATTGCTTATAATTGGGGGTGCAGCACTTGTCGCTGGTTTAACAGTTGTAGTGGTTGTGGTCGTACTAGTTGTTGTAGTAGTTGATGAATTTGATACGTTACTGTTTGCTTGCGGGGCTGAAGATGACGTCGCCTCCACTGGGGGCACGGACACCTGCGTGGGCTTCGAGGCCTGAGCCAATGTTGTCTCAGTGGAGACCTCCTTCTGGGAAGACACCAAATTCAGCACCACCACCAGCAGCATGAAGATTCCCATTAAATACAGCTTTATCTTCATCGTAACTTTCATTCAATTGCGACTTCTTCAGCACATCACGACGAACCTCTCAATCGCCCATCTGACAAACAACTGTTGTCATTGTTGTTGACAAATGTCATCATCGTGTTCACGTGACACCTCGCATAATTGCCAAAACATATGATCGAACATGACGAAATATTGAAATATCAAAGAAACGAAATATATATAAAAATACAAGAACACTCATCAATAATTCGATTAATTAATATTGCAATTAATTAAAGAAAGCATGATTTTAAATAATAATAATAAAGAAATTAGGGGCAACAGCGCGCACATGGTATTGATTTTAAGCGCATGCGTGCTGCAAACGTCACATTTCAATTTTGACAGTTCTTCGCCGATGTTTTGGTTCGTGGGTTAAGTTTATTTTTGATTAATTTTAAGAAACCAGAGAGTCGTTATGGAGGACGCTTTCCATAAAGTCGTGGAGCACATCTTCAACAATTGGACGGCTCTGCAGCTCGCCGTGGAGCATTCCATGGGTGGACCCAACAGCAAACAGGTTTGCTCAAGTCCAGGGAAACTAACCTCAAATTCGTATTAATGCACGTTCTTTTACCATTCATCAGGTCGCCGTGCAGTCCATGAACTACATAGTCAGTTATGGAATGTCCGAGCAGGATCTGGAATCTGAGGATTTCGAGGATGTGCTGGAGGACATCATGGATCGGGAATTTGACACTCTGTGTGAAGACAACTCGATTGCAGGTTCGTTGAGAGTCACCACTGAAAGAGAATCAAATTGTTGTAATTTATTGCTTTTAGAAATATCGCAGTTGTTGTACAAGTTTTTGCAAATGATAAAGAAGGGCAACGTTGAGGAATACAATGTTGAATATGCCAAGTTGCCGGTGAGGCCCCAATGGATCACAAATCAGGCGCCAGCGCCGAAGAAGAGAGAGGAAGTACCAGCACCAAGTGGTGAGAGTGCTGTGGAGGAATCTATGGATGCGGAGGACTCGGAATGGACGCAAGTTAAATCGAAGAAGAAACGATGAATCAAACCTTTTATTTAAAAATATATATATATGCATATAAAAATCACATTTACGTGTCTTGCGGTACGATCACTAATTCCTGGTAAACCCCTGAGCGAATGATCGTCATTAAGAGTTTGTAGTTGTCTCTGCTTTCAAGGATATCGTAAACATCGTTTGCTTTAGTGATGGCCTTCTTGTTGATGGATACAACAATATCACCAGGTTTCAATCCGCCTCTGAAAGATTCCATTAAGATCCTTCGATACTGGTAATTTTTGTTTTGTTACTTACACATCAGCCGGAGAACCATAGATGACTTTCCAGACTAAGACACCTTCTTTGATGGTGGCCGGAAAGTACTGATCCCTTTGTCTCATCTCATTCACAATCTGCGGGGTCAATGTTAGCATGGTGATTCCCATGTACCTTTTGGCTGCAGGTAAAACTTGCTTCTTTACACTACTCGATTGGAGCAGGAATGCTTTCACATAGTCTGCAAAAGCCCATTTGATTAATTGGATTTCGAGATCTCACTATGTACCTATTGGAATAGCAAAGGAAATGCCTGAAGTCACTTTCATGCTGTTCACACCGATCGCCTCTCCGTCCAGATTCACCAAAGGTCCTCCAGAGTTACCAAAGTTGATTGCAGCATCCGTCTGGATGTACACCATATCCTTTCCTCTCATCCCCAACTCATCGGACCCTCTGTGCGTCGAACTTATAACCCCTGAAGTCACTGTATTACTCAGCGCCAATGGACTTCCGATAGCAACAACAAACTCGCCCGGCCTCAGATCTGAGGAGTTCCCTAATTTCATGGCTGGTAAATTATTAGCGTTTATCCTCACCGTCGCCAGATCACTGTGCATGTCAACACTCTCGATAGCTCCCTGATAAATGTTTCCATTCAGCAGTTTAACAATCACATTCGTGTTTGGTTTTGAAGCAACAACATGGGCGTTAGTTAAAATCAAACCGTCCTCAGCGATTATAAAACCTGAACCATTCGAAATTGTGATTGATTGCCCAGTGAAAAACTCTTTTCTGGTAGCATCCTTTATCTCTATATACACTACAGATGGTGCCGACTCCTCAACCACATCGGCTATAAAATTATGCTGGCTGCGTCTGTTCTTTACCGGTGTTGCAGCATCCACTTTTGTACCAAAGCCAAGGTATTGGTACACCAGGTATCCTGATCCAAGCAGCATCAGGTACTTCAGATTGTCCAATAAGGATGAATCTCTGCTCTGCGATTGATTTACAGCTACAGCTGCTGTGGACATTACTGAAGGTTTCAGATGCTGACATTTTGCTGCCCTTACGATCTTCGGCGTGCAGAGCCTTCTGGTCACGAAATTCATCCTTATGGTGTTTACTTTCTAAAAGATCTGGCAGAAGAGCTCATATTGAGGTTAGCGGATTACATGTTTGCAGGTTATGTTTGTATTAAAGGGACCTTTATCAGATACGAATTTATCCAATAGATATTAAGTAGCTGCTGCCACCTGGTGATGCAAAAAAGATCAATTTAAGATCTTAAATCAAACTTTTTTTTTCAGCATTATTTAATTAATAACCATTATTTAACTAATTCTATTACATACAGTTTAATCTATGCACTTTCAGCTTTATTTTGAGCATAAATAGTGGAAAATTTGATTAGTAATTGTAGAGAAAAACAATTATAAAGTAGGCAATGATTTAATTTCTTCACTTAAAAATTTGATTAACAATTAACACACAAATTAAAGAGAAAATTATGACTTTTCCAATAATCCTAATAATATCAGATGTGTGCTAGGTCTTGTTCGTCTATTCTAATTTAATGAATTAATAAAAATATGAAAAAAAAAGTATCTGCACCTTTTATTAAATTACTTGATAATAATACATGCTAATTAGACTAATGAATAATCGAATTAAAGAAGAAACTGTAGTCTTTCTAAAGAGCTCAATATGAGATTTGTGCTTCGCTCATTTCGTCTGATTTAAGCAATCTAAGTTTAAGGAATTAATAGAAATATGAAAAAAAAGTATCTGTACCTTTTATTGAATTACTTGATAATAATACATGATAATTAGACCAACGAATAAGCGAATTAAAGAAGAAACTGTAGTCTTTCCAAAGAGCCCAATATCAGATTTGTGCTTTGTTCTTTTCGTTTGATATAAGTAGTCTAAGTTTAAGGAATTAAAAAAATATGAAAAAAAAGTATCTGCACATTTTATGGAATTACTTGATAATAATGCATGCTAATTATATCAACGAATAAGCGAATTAAAGAAGAAACTGTAGTCTTTCCAACAAGCCCAAAATGAGATTTGTGCTTCGCTCTGTTCGTCTGATCTAAGCCGTCTAACTTTAAAGAATTAATAAAAATATGAAGAAAAAAAACTATCTGCACCTTTTATTAAATTACTTGATAATAATACATGCTAATTAGACTAATGAATAACCAAATTAAAGAAGAAACTGTAGTCTTTCCAAAGAGCCCAATATGAGATTTGTGCTTCGCTCTGTTCGTCTGATCTAAGCAGTATAAGTTTAAGGAATTAATAAAAATATAAAAAAAAAGTATCTGTACCTTTTATTAAATTACTTGATAATAATGCATGCTAATTAAACTAATGAATAAGCGAATTAAAGAAGAAACTGTAGTCTTTCCAAAGAGCCCAAAATGAGATTTGTGCTTTGCTCTATTCGTCTGATCTAAGCAGTCTAATTTTAAGGAATTAATAAAAATATGAAAAAAAAAGTATCTGTACCTTTTATTAAATTACTTGATAATAATGCATGCTAATTAAACTAATGAATAAGCGAATTAAAGAAGAAACTGTAGTCTTTCTAAAGAGCCCAAAATGAGATTTGTGCTTCGCTCTTTTCGTTTGATGTAAGCAGTCTAAGTTTAAGGAATTAATTAATAAAATTAATAAAAATATGACAAAAAAGTATCTGCACTTATTATTGAATTACTTGATAATAATACATGCTAATTAGACTAATGAATAAGTGAATTAAAGAAGAAACTGTAGTCTTTTCAAAGATCCCAAAATGAGATTTGTGCTTCGCTCTGTTCGTCTGATCTAAGCAGTATAAGTTTAAGGAATTAATAAAAATATGTATCTGCACCTTTTATTGAATTACTTGATAATACTACATGCTAATTAGACCAACGAATAAGCGAATTAAAGAAGAAACTGTAGTCTTTCCAAAGAGTCCAATATGAGATTTGTGCTTCGCTCTGTTCGTCTGATCTAAGCAGTATAAGTTTAAGGAATTAATAAAAATATGAAGAAAAAAAAAACTATCAGCATCTTTTATTTGATTTCTTGATAATAACGCATACTAATTAGACTAATTAATAAGCAAATTAAAGATAAAACTATGGTCTTTCCAATGAGATTACTACCAGATTTCTGATCGATTACGTTCAATTTTTGTAAGATCTCAAAGTTGGGCAATCAAATGTTTCAAAGTTGATAATCCCTTACGAGATATGTATGAATCATGTTGTGATTTGAAGTAAGGTTGTTGAAGAGCAGAGAGGTGTTATTTAGACGGCGCTGGGTGATAGTTGGGATGTGTGTAATTAAGTCTGGATTGATGGGCGAAATGCGCGGCGCGGATTATCGCGTTTGACTAATTGAGATTGAAATGTTGGAGATGAAGATTGGTTTCAGTGCGTGTCCTTTTGCTAAAGAATCGTTGTCTAGAAGGAAAAGATGATGCTGCAGCAGCACAGGCGTGTAAATGCGCAAAGTCTAAAATAATAAATGGGTGAGTTTGTGAGGTATAAAATTGGGATGAATCAGAGCCATTGATCAAAATATAAATATATTGTGCACGGTAATGGCAAATCTAATGGTCGACTAACAACGGCAATAAATCACGGCCCAGTCTATTTATCAAAGGCAACCTACAATTGAATCTCTCCCCCAGATCCATCCGAAGAGCGAGACGACGCATACCGAGTCACAAGCGCACAAGCATGCATCTTCTATACAACCACATCTAACCATCCGCGCGCTTCTTGCGCGCCGCACTTCTCTCTATTCTACCCATCATCATCATCATCATCTTTGTCTTCGTCTTCGTCGTGGTCTTGAGAGAAGCACGGGCAGGCCGGCCACGTTTCACCTTAGGTACCATTTTAAAATTGAAATATAAATATCAATTATGCAATCGTACCCTATGATTTTCCCGGCCGGAGAAATTAATTATTGCGATACGTTATTTTCAGTAATTTTCGCTTGACGTTTTGAATTATCCGTGCACGTTTCTGGAGCTCTCACCACGACGGACGGACCTATTCTCACAACCTCCTCAAC